CAACCATTTTAGGACATTGTGTTACTGGGCTTGCTACAGACTCATCGCTTTGGGAAGAAAAGACACACAGTAATTGATAAAAATAACGGACTCAAAATTAATATTTTTTTCTTTGAAACTGTCACAAAAGCAAACACCTAAATGTGAAATTAGAACAGAAATGTGTTAAAGGGCAAAAGGCAAACCAATTCCCAACAAAACATAAGACCCAACCATTTTGATATCTGGATAACTTTTCTCCAGGAACACAGTCAATTGTAACATGAACTGATGATTGAACATGTTTGCTTTAACCGGCTATTCACATACATAGACTTTTATAGGATTGACAAAAGGTGACAGCTGAGAATGGCTTTTAGGACCAAACTGTACTGAGGTTAGTGTATGAAACACATTTTAACAGCATTCACCCTGAGCCAATATTATGTCTAAAGATGGATGTCCAAGGTCTACTCAGTAACTTAAATATACATACTTAAAGGAAAGTGGCTGCATCCCAGTTAACATTGGCCTGAGTTTTACACAGAGGGATGGGGTTGCCACTGCCTAGACCTGTACACTCACACCTTAGTCCCTAACAACCACTTGGCCTTCAATTGGCTGCAGGCACAACGTCTACCCCATTTGAAATAAAGTTCTCCCTCTGAGATCAGGGACTGAATCAGATAATGTGCATTCAGTAAAGATTGCCTGGTCAGGGTATTCACTCAACCCAATAGTAGATCATGCCTAAAAGGAGGTGGCAGCCAGATTTAACATACTTTGAACTATATGGGATCCAAGTACTAAGTTGTGTATTCTTGGCATCTAAGTCAAACTGACTCCCTTTCCTTTCCACAAGCAAAGTGGCGAATGCATTTCTTTTCTTCAGCTGAGCCTGGTTACATGTTTTGTGCATCTGCGGTAATCTGACAGATCATGATGTAATTTGTCATCTATCATTTGCTTCATTTACTTATTTTATTTGTTCAGGGGATGTGGGCGAACAACTACTAAATGCCCTTCAGAAGCTGGTTGTGAGCTGCCTTCTCGAACCGCTACAGTCCTTGTCATATAGGTATACCCACACTGCTGGCAGAGAGGAATAACCAGGATGTTAACCCCAAAACAGTGAAAAACAGTGATATATTTTCAAATCAGAATGGTGTGATAGCCAGAGGAGAAATTGCACCTGGCGGTCTTTCTATGTGTCTGTTGTTCATGTATTTCAAGATGATAGAAGCCATAGATTTGGAAGCTGGTTCAAAGAAGCTTGGTGAGTTCCTGCAGAGCATCTTGTCTGTGGTACACACATCTGCCAGGTTGGGCAAGTATTGGAGAGAGTAGAAGATGGTGGATGGGATGCCAATGAAGTTTTGCCTTGCATGGCCCTGAGATTCTTGAGCATTAAATCTGTACTGTTCCAGGAAAGTTGGAGATGTTCCATTACACTTCTCAATTATGTCTTGTGGATGGTGAGCGGGCTTTGGGCAGTCAGGATGTGAGTAACTGTGTGCAGAATTACCAGCCTCAGACCTAGTTTTGCAGCTACGGTATCTATGAGGTATTTGCAATTAAGTTTTGAGTCAATAGCAAACCCTAGGGTAGTGGGGGATTCTGTGATGGTCATTTAATATGAAGGGGAGATGCTTGGCTTACCTCCAACTGGTGATGCTCATTGCCAGGCACTTATGAGCTGTGAAAATGACTTACATTTTATTAAGCAAGCCTGAAAGCCACTCAACTTTTGCTGCATGTGACTATGGACCATTTCCTTATGTAGGGAGTACATATGGAATCAGTATGATGCAATCAACAGCAAACATTCCCAGCTCAGAGACTGGGAATTCCGTGGTGAGCAATTCTCCTCACTCTATAAATTCTGTTGACTTGCACTTTCCTTGTGGAAAGGAAGACAGGTCAATTTGAGTGGGCAAATAAATCTAGTGCAAAAAATATGCCGTTTAGTACTTGAAACATCTACAAAGAACAAATCAGGAGCATGATGAAATATCTCCACTTACCCGGATGATGCAGATCCAACAATATTCAAGAGCTCAATGTCAGTAGGACTAGGTAGGCACCTTGAATAGGACCTTATCCAGTGATGCAAAGTGGCAGCGGTGTGTATTATCTACAAGATGCAGTGTAGTAGCTCATGAAGGATCCTTCAACAACATTTTCTGCATCCACAAAACCTACCACCTAAAAGGACATGAGCAGCAGATGCATAGTGCCATCAGCTGCAAATTTCCATCCTGACTTGGAACTATATCACCGTTCCTTCATTGTCATGCGTCAGAAGCATGGAATGCCCCTGAATCGAACATGACATCCAAGAAGTGTTTGAAAGTCTGGCATCAATAAGAATCAAGACAAAAACTCTCTGCTTGTTGGAGTCATACCCAGTTGAGAGGAAGAAAGCTGTGGTTGTTTGAGTTCAATCATTTGAGTCTCAGTACATCACTGCAGGAGTTCCTCAGGGTAGTGTCCATGGCCTAATCGACTTCTACTGTTTCAGCAATGTTCATCCTTCCAGCTTAAGGCCAGAGGAGTGGATGCTACTGATGATTGTACAATATTCAACACCATTTGCGACTCCTCGTATATCAAAGCAGCCTGCGCCCATTTGCAGCAAGACCTGGTCAATTTCCAAGTTTGGATTGATAAGTAACGAGTACTATTCACATCACATAAATGCTAGGCAATGGAAATCTACACAAGAGGATCAAGGCATCTGTCCTTGACATTCAATGGCATTACCATCTCTGAAACACCCAATGTAACATCCAAGGGAGATTACCATTGACCGGACACTAAGCTGAACCAGCCAAACAGATACTGTGGCTATAAGAGCAGGACAGAGGCTAGGAATTCTGTGGTGAGCAATTCACCTCCTGTCTTGTCAATACTTGTCCACTATGAGCAAGATGCTAATGTGATGAAATACTCACCGCTAGTCTGATAGATGCAGCTCCAACAAAACTCCCACCAAGCTCAACACCAGCAAACAACAAAGCAGTCTGCTTGATTGGCACCCCTTCCAAATCCACTCCCCTGACATCGATGAGTTGTACAGCACCAATGAACTGCAGCAAATCACAAAGCCTCCTGCAAAAGCATCGTCGGAACCTGTGACTATTACCATCCAGAAGGACAAGGAGAGCAGATGCATGGGACACTATCATCTGCAAGTTCCCATCCAAGTCACACACATGGACTGCGGCAGTTCAAGGAGAAAAATCACTACTACCTTCTCGAGTGTATTTAGGGAAGGGCAATAATTGCTGGTCTAGCCAATAATACACACATTCCATGAATGAAGAAGAAAATTATTCACGCGCAGCAACTTCATTATGACTTAATATTTATTACATCAACCTACATGTAAGCTTTAAGGGATATTTATCTGACTGTCAGATATTTGTGGCTTTTAAAATATTGCACAAACTACTCTCGTCTCCAATAAAATGGAGAACACATTTTAAATATTCGTAGTCAATGAAGATAGATGCATAAAATATAGTCACAACTGGAGGATAAATGTATCACAATTTGACTTATGATTTAAACCTATAATTGCTATTGCAAAATCATGAGTTTCATGCAGCATTTAATCGAAGAATAAAAACACCAACTTTTTTTGATTGCTATTGCATAATTACTTGCTGTCATTAGAACAGATTTATTCTAATGAAACCGAATTAAATTGTGTACAAATGTGTTCCACTGGGACTCAGGCTGGTGTGAATAACTTCTGACTCGTCGTCAGCTGGTTTAGTAGCTGTAAAACTCAATGGCAAGATGCTTTCAGACTAAATAAGTATATTGTACTCAAGGAAGTTGGTCATTTTTAGATGGGAATATATTGTCTGCAGATCACTGCAGTTGACTAAAAATAGGGGACAGATCTTCACTTGCTTTTCAGACTTTCTGTGCAGCAGGTTTACATGTCAGTGCTGCCTAAAGGAATATTTTTGCCCGTATTGAGGAGACCATGTATTAGGAAGATGTAGCATTTGCAAACATAGTCTAGAGAGTCTAGGGATGCTGAGAACTCTACCTGAAAATACTTGCAGCAACAATTCCATGTCACAAATTTCCAGTTTAGTTTTAAATGGTGGGAAATTCCTGATTATCATTCAGGTTGGACTGCCTAGTGGGTTGCACTTGCAGCCCAGTGTGGATCTTTCCAATATCTATTTGCCTGGGTGTTCGTTGTGAGAGCTATGGAACTGTTCATATGGCAATCCATTCTATAACCCCAGTTCTGTCAGCCTCCTGGGATTTGCAGAGAGTGGATAGAGCTTGCATCTGTTGCAGCCCCTGCACTGGCATGACTCATGCAAATTCCCTCTATCTACTCCTCTGGCTGGAGTCTCAGCAATGACAGGTCCACGAAATTTGAGTCTGCATCCCAGCGGTGTGCTCAGGCCATATGTACATCTGATGTCAACTGTTAGAATAGTACTATTGCCAATGCTGCTCACTTCTTAACTCAAAAGTGCGAGTTTGAATTCCCTTTGAGCATAACACTTCTTAGTCTGAAAACTGTGATGTTTGACAATTTCATGTCAATTGGTAACCAATGTTTGACTGTATGGTGCTGAGAGCTCATTCTTATTAGGAACTGTGTTAAAAAAAAGGTCAGATCATGTTGTGATTTGACAGTTTGTCAGAAAAGGTCTTCAACAAATAGTGTTCGGTTCAAACTGTGGTCTTGGTGGGAATGAGTAAGAACTAACCCCTATTGTGCTACAATGTTCTGCAATAACTGTTTTGCAAAAGTGCGGCTGACATTCACAATATGAAAAAAAGACACTCAAACACATGATGCAAAATAAGAAATATTCAGCATTGGTATGAGAATTTAAACTATACCACAGCACATATATAATTAAAATTCAACCGTGTTAAAATGCGTGATAATGCCCTTATAAATCACATAACCAAAGATTGGATATGTTGCAAACCCAGTTCTACTGCTGGTACTTATCAGCACAAATGCAATACTTGCTTACTTTTGTATTCCAAGTGATAGCCAGCTGCTGCCACACTGATGTCAGAATGAAAATGCAGGTAGAGCTGATTGGAGGTGCTGTTCAACAAGGCAGGGACTGTGGTACCTGAAATGAAAATCCTTCTTTTAATCTAACTATATCACAAAGAACGACATCCAGATTTGACTCTTCCAGTAAACAGAGCTGTATTCCTAATTCACAACTATTGTAAGTTAATTGATTGATCATTTTCTTTCCTTATCTCTGTTCAAAAGCCAAGTTATCTGTACTACTAACAGAACTGCATAGACTATGATATTTTACCAGGCTAAGGAGTGGATAGAGAAAACATTGCATCCCTGACCTCTATTTCACCTCCATTTACAACATGACTTTCACTGTTGTGGACTTTTTTGGATCATGCTTGCTATCTTGGTATGTAGGCTTCACAACAAAGGTAGATGAATGGAAAATGCTATCCGTATTTACGAACTCTGCTGTACACAGGTCGAGGTGAACAGACTTGAGATTAAAAACCCTGCTTTCCCTTTTATCCTTTGTCCTTCCTCACGGCACCGCCCCCCAAACTCATACTGTGGCAAGTGAAGAAGTACATATTTCATCAGCGTTTTGCATAAATAGGTTTATCTGTTCTGAGTACCTCAAATGATTGTTTCCTTTACAATTTGTGAGGGAACCAGCTGGCGAAATAAGCAATGCAATGCAAGGGACCTGCCCCTGAATAATAGAGTCTAAGAACAGGGACATCTTCTGCAACTGGACAAGGTGCTGGAGAGACCACATCTGGACAACTGTGAGCAGTTTTGGTGCCCCCATTTTAAAAGATTTAAGTAATCAGCGAAGATTCTTTAGGATGATCCATACTAACATGGAGGGATTGTCTTATGAGCAAACTTTTAAAAGATTGGAACTCTATCCACTAGAGTTTTGAAGAATGAGAGGTGGTCTCATTGAAGCATAAACTGAAGAGGCGTGAGGAGTAAGTGCTGAAAGGATGTTCCCCCTCATGGGCAGTCTAGGACCAGAAGGCATAGTCTCAGAATAAAAGGGCAGCAATTTAGAACTGAGATGAGAGGAATTTCTTCTTTCTTTGGCGCTCCTTGCCACAGAGAACTGTATTGTGCATATTTAAGGCTGAGATAAATTGTTGATCAGTAGGGTAAATAAGGGTTATGGGGAAAACACAGGAAAGTGGATATGAGAAATGTCAGATTGGCAATGATTCTATTAAACGGGGAGAAGGCTCGAGGGGCTGAAGAGTTTACTCCGTTTCTATTTCCTATGGTCTTATCTGTCAGAAAGAGGATGAAAGAGGCATTGAGTGACTAGCTTTACCATCACTGTGACCTTTGTTATGTGGCACTGTGCCAACTGCTGAGTGGTCAAATTGGTCCACTGAGCTGCGTCATCGGAAAATGGAATTTAGGGTTGTACGATGTATGAAGGATCCAGTTACTATTTTTAGATTGAATTGGGAAGTGTGCAGTATGCTGAAACCAGAATCAGCTGGTAGTCTGGCTGAAGAGGAGCCTAAAGGCTGGTTCTTCATTTATGTGGATCAGGGAGGTGTACTACAAGAAACCTACAAGGGCAGAACGTACAAAGTAAACAGAAGGGTTCTGGCGAGAACAGAGAGATCGAGGGGTTCAGGTAGATAGTTCATTGAAAGTTGCTTCACAGATAGAGCGGTGAAGACGACATTTGGAATACTTTCCTTCATCGCTCAAACCATTGAGTTTAGGAGTTGGGATGTCATGTTGCTGTTATATAGAACATTGGGGAGGCCATGTTAGGAGTACTATGTACAGTTCTGGTCACCCTGCTACAGCAAGGATATTACTAAATTCGAGACAGTGCAGAAAAGATTGATGAGGATGCTGCTGGGATTGGAGGGTTTGAGTTGACAGGTTGGATAAGATGGGACATTTTTCACTGGAGTGTAGGAGGTTGAGGGGTGACCTTACAGAGATCTGTAAAATCATGAGGAGCATAGACAAGGTGAATAGCAAAGGTGTTTTCCCTAGGGTTGGGGAATTCAGAACTAAAGGGCATAATTTTACAGTGAGAGGAGGAAGATTTCAAAGGACCCAAGGGGCAACTTTTTCACACAGTGGGTGGTTCATATGCGGAATGAACTGCCAGAGGAAGTGAGATGTAGGTACAGTTACAGCATTTCAGAGACCTTTGGATATATACATTAAAGGAAAGGTTGAGAAGGATGTAGGCCAAGCGCAGGCAAATGAGACTAATTTAAATTATGGAACTTGGTGGCACGGACGGGTTGGACGGAAGGGTCTGTTTCCATGCTGTATGACTCGATGATTCTATGACCATGACTGTCTTCATTTGGCTTATCTAACATAATGAAGGAGAGGTAATTTTTACGAGGCTTTGCTCACACTGAGAGTTAAATCAACAACTGAGTACATCTAAGTATCAGGAAAAGGTTTTCACCTATGTTTCATAAAACGTTCCTGTTGTATTTGCATCATAGGAAGCACGAGTAATATTCTAGCATTGCTTGTCCTTTTTGATTTATGAAAGGAACACAAGGCATTGGATATTAATTTCTTACCTGAGAAGCTCCCAAGTCTTGGTGCAGTTGCATCTCCACCATCATATATTTCTAAGGAGTCCCAGTTATGCTCAGTGGCAAAGGTTATCACTTGAATCTAAGTATTCAATAAAATCAGTATTTAGTTGCGGTAAAATTCAGAGCTCTGTACTGCTTCATTAGCTCACTACAGTTAAATTTGAATCACAAACTATAAAAAATGAAATATGGCAAACCAAATTCCTACTTGATTTGTGACAATTCATGAAGCATGGTTACTTGTGAGGCTTAAGTCTGTTTGGTTACAAACTGCTTAAAGTTTAGAGATGCTTTTACCTCATGTTTGACCAATCTTAATGTACTGAGACATTGATCAGTATTGCCACCTGATGAATAAAGAAAATTATTCGCAACAATTACATTCTCCCCAAAAGAATTTTATGAAGTGTTGATTCAGATCCGACTTGCAATTTACATTTCTAATTCAGAAACAAGTCGAGATATAAAAAGAACAAGAACAAAGAAATGGAATCTACCAGTTTTTTTTAATGTAGTGTCAACTGCTGGTGGGTGATGTGAACTTAAGGTAAAAATATTCCTTCTGCGTGCAAATAACTTGCCTGTATACCTGCTCCCTCGGTTACCGTGATTTTCCAGACACAGTTCAAGCTGTTACCATATGGCTCTGGGTAACCTGGCGAAAGGATGGTGCCTCTACGTTCTGTCAGATTTCCATGGCAAGGTACTAAAAGAGAAAACAATCTCTGAAGAAGCTGCTGAAGAATCAATTGCTGCTGAATGCATTTTAAAAAATGAGCTTGAAAAGTTGGGCAGAGATTTTGCACTTCCAGAATCATGGTGGAGAAAGACATCCACTCACTTTGAGTCATAGAGTCATAGAGATGCACAGTACTGAAACAGACCCTTCAGTCCAACTCGACCATGCTGACCAGATGTCCTAAGCAAATCTAGTCCCATTTGCCAGCATTTGGCCCCTATCCCTCTAAGCCCTATTGTAACTATACCAGTCTCCACCACTTCCTCTGGCAGCTCATTCCATATATGCACCATCCTCTGCATGAAAAAGTTGACCCTCAGATCCCCTTTAAATCTTTCCCCTCACACCTTAAACCCATGCCCTCTAGTTTTGATCTCCACCACCCCAGGGAAAAGATATGTCTATTTATCCTATCCATGTCCCTCATGATTTTATAAACCTCAATAAGGTCATCCCACAGCCTCAGAGGCTGCAGGGAAAATAGTCCCAGCCTATTCAGCATGCCCCTATAGCTCAAAGCCTCCAACCCTGGAAGCATCCTCGTATATCTTTTCTGAACCCTTTCTAGTTTCACAGTATCCTTCCTAGAGGAGGGAGACCAGAATTGCATGCAATCCTCCAAAAGTGGCCGAACCAATGTCCTACACAGCTGAACATGACCTCCCAACTCCTGTATTCAATGCACTGACCAATAAATTCAAGCATACCAAACACCTTCATCATTATCTTATCGACCTGCAACTTCAATTTCAAAGAACCATGAACATGCACTCCAAGGTCTCTTTAATCAGCAACACTCCCCAGGGGACCTTACTATCAAGTGGATAATTCCTGTCCTGATTTGCCTTTCCAAAATGCAGCATCTCACATGTATCTAAATTAAACTCCATCTGCCACTCCTCAGCCTATTGTCACATTTGATCAAAATCCGGTTGTACTCTGAAATAACCTTCTTCGCTGTCCACTGCGCTTCCAATTTTAGTGTCTTCTGCAAAATTACTAAACATACCTCCTATGTTCACATCCAAATCTTTTTCCAAAAAAGAGTAGACCCAGCACTGATCCTTTGTGCCACACCGCTAGTCACAGGGCTCCAGTCTGAAAAACAACCCTCCACCTCCACCCTCTGTCTCCTACTTCCAGCCAGTTCTGTATCCAAATAGTTAGTTCACCCTCTATTCCATGTGATCTAACCTTGCTAACCAGTCTACCATGAGGAACGTTGTCGATTGCCTTACTGAAGTCCATTTAGATCACGTCCACCACTCTGCCCTCATCAATCCTCTTCATTACATCTTCAAAAAACTCAATTAAGTTAGTGAGACATGATTTCCCACGCACAAAGTCATGTTGACCATCCCTAATCAGAACTTGCCTTTCCATGTACATGTAAATCGTGTCCCTCAGGAATCCCTCCAATAACTTGCCCACCACTGATGTCAGGCTCACAGGTCTATAGTTCCCTGGCTATTCCTTACCACCTCTCTGAAATAGTGGCACCACATTAGCCAACCAATATGGCCATATGGCCAAGCACCTAAAGTGCAGGGTCGATAAATAAAGCAATGGGAGCCAATCGCACCAGCAATATCTGGGCAAAAGGGAACTTTAAACCAGCACTTCAACTTTCATTGGGAAGAACTCTGGCTGAAGATTATCTTTTTTTCCAATGTCCCGTTGTTGGTGCGTACCAGATTCAAATGGCTGTTCGTACTTCTTGTATGACTGTTTCATTTGAATATGGCAGAGGTTGGTCCAAAGTATACCGACTTCATTCAAGAGGCATTACCCCTCAAATACAGTTCAGGCTTGGGTTCAGTTCAGACTGGTGGATTACAAATGTGCCCCTAACCCACAAATTGTGGCTCCAGAAGATAGAGGAGAATTGCTTTTCATCTCTTTTTAAATGAGAAGCCAAGAAAGTACAGAAATAGAAAAGGAAGTGACGAGACAAAATTTAGCCTTCCAAATTGGGCAAAATTAAAATGGATTCTAATTAGTCGCAAGTTTATAAGTACAATGATTGTCCAGCTAACCTCCCACAGTAATTCAACAAAACTCAAACTAATCTTAATCCTACTGAGTTCAGACCCACTGCATTCTACAAAATGGCTCGGTGTCACAGAAGACATTTTATTCTGTATAGGTCATGTATGTCTGTTCCTGCCCTTGTTATTTTTTCCAAAATATGTTTTGAAGCCAGAACTCCTTGAAGGGGGAGAAACAAATTTTGCCAGGGGAATTATAGGAATAGACAATTTGTACTGGCCTTATCAACAACACTTACAATCCTGGAATGAATGAATGAAACAAAAAAGGAAAATCACTGAGAAGGTGATGCTGGAAAGCCAGAAACAATCAGCTAATAAAAATTAAACCATTTACGGAGACATATCCTGCCTCTCTCTTTTCCAGATGCTGACTGAGTTCACTTGTATTTGCAGTTTTATTTTCCAATTTTAATTCAAGTTTTCAGCCCTGTCAGTTTTTCATTTTCTCATCCCAGGATTTGTCTCAATACTATTTATGTATTCATTCTGTTCAAAACACAGTGCCCAAAGCTTTACCTTCCCATAATATTCAAAAGACAGTTGTTCCTATAATCTGCAATTCTACCAACAATTATCTAAGTATAATTTCGGTTATGACCAGGAAAGGAGGAACGAGTTAGCTGTTCTTCATTTGAACCACTCAGTTGATCATAACAAAGGTGTACTTTCCTTTTTAGCACAAAGCCACACCTCTATCCAACTAATATTTTTCACCTGCTAAATTTGAGAAAAATAATAAAGATGCAACATTAGCCCTATGGCACTTTGTGCAATCACTTAGACCTGCACACTCTCATACGCATGCAAAGTTAAAAGGGGACATTTTCTCATACAGAGTGATAAAATTAAAAATTGTTGAGAGTCTTTGGTTGTCTTTGAGACATTAGGTTTTAGCCTGAGACCATGGTTGGTTACCTAGTTTCACTATTTAGTAGTACTGGCAATTATTTTTAAATGCATTAGCTCTCTGTGGCTTAGTTAGCTGGGTTCTTGGTGGTTCTTCTCAGTGATTGTTTCTGTGTGAGTCAGGCCAACTTTCTTATTTATAAGGGAGACAGCCCAGTGAAGACAGTAATATCACTTTCAGTCATTTCTCTAAAGCCCTCAGAACCTCCCCTGAAATATTTGTTACAGCGTATAGTTCATAAGTTTGTATTGGGCAGGAATGTCTTGCATTTATTCATTTCTTTCTGAAACCATAATAATTTTGGATGGGTGTGATTTGCAGGAAGTCTCTCTCTTCATAACATTCACCATTATCCTTGAAGTGATTCATTTATTTGCTTACCTCCATCTTGAGGTGGTTTCACATTTTCAGACAGCTTGCCTTGTCTTAGTCATATTTGAAAAAACATAAAGGGATATAGACTTGCTGCAATTGATTTTATTTCATAACCAGGAAAAATGAGTGTTAATCTCATAATTGTGAGTTTAAATTTGTACAATTTTCTTAAGGTTTGTTTGTTGTGATAAGTGAGTGGTCAAAAGTATGGCACCTGGAATTCAATTTGGGAAAAATGAAAGATTATCCACTTTAGATCTGAGAAAGACAATTTGGCATAGTTTACACATGGTGAGACAAAAACATTTATAGGAGCAGTATAATTTCAATAGCTTTAATTATAAATCACTGAAAGAAACTGCAGTTATAAACTGCAATCAAAAACACAAAAGGAAATTTGGTCCTTCTCTCATCTGGACTGAAATACAATGTAAAGGAAATTGTGCTTCAATTCGACAGAACCATGATCAGACCCTATCTGGGGTATAGCATCTATTTTGGGCAGCTTAAGAAAAATAAGCTTGGTTGTGGTTACAGCAGAATCACCTGAATTATAATGAATGTAAAGGGTTACATTATCAGGACATATTACTTTCCATGATTTGTACTTCCTTCAGTTTAAAAGGTTTGTGATTGCTTTGTGATGTTCTCAACTTACTCCATTATCAGCTCACTAAATTTACTCTCTCTTCTCAAGCTCAACAGACATAGTTCTGGATGACTACATCAGTTATAGCAAGCATTTATTGTATTCTACCTGAGTAAAATGTGTTCCCTTGTCCTCTAACAACTGTTCCTTATAGACATATTCTTAATTTCAGTACGTGTAGCTGAATAAAACAGACTCTACAAAGCAAGTTTCTGTTTTCTTTTCCACATGATTAGGTCACATGTGGTGCAGCAGAAACATTGGGCTATAATCTACCACCAGGATGAAGATAAAACTATTGCCATTCACCAGTATTTAGGCAGAAAGTAGTAGAACGACTTCGGGCCATTAAACACTCAAAAATAATGCTGCTCGACTTATGCTGAGCCATTATTAACCTCACAAAGTGCACTTTCTTTCTGTCAGCCTCACCATTGACATGTATAGAATGTTGTAAAGTTGCTGAACTGGTGAGGACACATGTACAAGCTGAACCCACTTCAGATACTGATGGATAGCAATTATACTTGCAAGAATCCTTTTAACAATTGTTGTAGTCCGTTACTTCCAAGCAATCTTGTTGACAATGAAAATTAAACAATGCAAGTGTCATACTTCCATATTTGAACTCTCCAGGGAGACTTTAAAAATATCAAATTTGATCTTTAATTATTTTGTTTATTTTTCCTTGTTATCTCTTTTTTTTCTCTTTCTCTCTTGAAGCAATGTGTCCCTTACTCTTATTTCTCTTTCTGCACCTCATTGGACATTTAAATCTACCTCTTTCATTTACTCCTCAGTTCAGTCTTTCTGCTGTTAATCCTCAGACTTCATTGGTTACTGTTTATTGCCCTGATGCAAGTACCCAGTTTTCTTTGCTTTTCCATTTCCATTTGAGCTTGAGGTTGTGGGCTTGCTCGCCGAGCTGGTGGGTTTCATTGCAGACATTTTGTCACCCTGCTGGGTAACGTTGTCAGTGTTATTT